CTCTCCCTCTCTCTCTCTCTCTCTACATCCGCCATGGGAGACCAAGACGACCTCTGCAACATCAGGCTCGGCCTCAGCCTCGGCTCTGGATTTGGCGAATACGTCCCCAAAAAGATGCAGAAAATCAACCCTAAATCCTTCACTGACCTCTCCTTCACCCTGGTTCCGAAGCAAGAATTGCCCATTAATTCAACCACTACCAACAGCCTCGGCTCCGAACGTGAAAGAGAGAGAAAAAAGCTTCGGCTTTCTAAAGAACAAGCCACTTTGCTCGAAGAAAGCTTCAAACTTCACACCACTTTGAATCCTGTAAGCTCTTTTTTTTTCATACCCATTTCACCATTTTCTATAATTTTCATTTTTAAAAATACCCATTTCACCATTTTGCATAATTTTCATTTTTAAAAAATACCCATTTCACCATTTTGCATAATTTTCATTTTTAAAAAATACCCATTTCACCATTTTGCATAATTTTCATTTTTCTCAAATACCCATCTCGTTTTTCTGTCAAAAATTTGATTTTTATTTGATTTTTATTGTTTTTGCATGGATTTGTAGGCTCAGAAACAGGCACTTGCCCACCAATTAAACCTCAAAACACGACAAGTGGAAGTCTGGTTCCAAAACAGACGTGCAAGGTAATAATAATAATTATAATTATAATAAGAATAAAACATTAATTTCTTCAAAAATGAATAAATAACTCTGTTTGAATTAAAAAAAAAAAAAAAAAAAAAAAAACAGGACGAAATTGAAGCAAACGGAAGTGGACTGCGAGTTCTTGAAGAAATGCTGCGAGAGGCTGAACGAAGAGAATCGGAGGTTGAAGAAAGAGTTGCATGAATTAAGATCCATCAAACTCGGAGCTTCCCAGTTGTATATTCAGCTCCCCAAGGCGGCGACGCTCACAATTTGCCCCTCATGCGACAAGATCACCAGGACACCCGCCGCCAACGCCGCCGTCGAGCCCAACTCTCCGCCACTGTAATTTAATGTCATTTTTTTTAGTACAGGAAAAGGGATCAATAATTTAAGCTCAATAACATTACAGCCTTTTTAGATTATTATATGAATCATTTCTATTTTTTAAAAAAAAAATTAATTAATTAGAAGGAATTTAAATAGGAATTAATTAAGCATAATTCCTATAATTTTATAGGGTTTAAGACATAATAAAAAAAAATGAGTGGGGGTCTAATTTGTCTTTTCACCTCTACTTCTCATTAATTTTACAATGGTTGAATAATTCAACTTTTATAATTTACACAATTTGGACCATAATTTTTATTTTCTTGGTTTATATTTTTCATGGAAATTACCATTTTGGACCATAATTTCTCTTTTCTTGTGGTCTCAAATAATTTTGACAATGGGAACTTTAAAATCAAAGTTGGACTTTTGTTGAATATTACATAATAATAATAAATTAAATAAATTAAATAAATAAATTAATAAATTGTTTTGCATATAAATTGGGAATGATGGAGTTTCGTTTTGGGTTGGTAGAGTAAAAGGGTTTTGAATTTTAAGAACCTAATCTTTGACCAAATATCATGTCAACAAATTATGTGTTTATATTTCTTTGTAATCATCGCCAATCACCTCTTCTAAATATTATAAATATAATATTATCAAACAAAATCATATAAATATATATATATATATATATTACGTGAAATTTCACGTTGGTTGAAGAGGAGAACAAAACATTTCTTGTAAGAGGGTAGAAACTTCTACTTAGAAGACGCATTTTAAAACTTAGACAATATCTATTCATGGTGAGCGTGAGGTGTTAATGTCTTACCTCTCGACATTTTTTTTTAGTATCATTTTGTGGATGTGAAAAGATATCTCTTACGTGTCCAAGTTCCATTGGATAAGACAAGACAGATTTAATTTAAAAAGATTTTTCCATCAATCGCAGACTCTCTTTAGAAAATGAAATTTTGATTGTGACCTGATACAATAATGTGAGTGTTAAATATATTATTATTGTAATAATAATAATTATTATTATTTCTACTATTATTATTTTAATCTATAATTAAAACAAATACATTTACATCCATTATAATGTTTATTGTTAAGCTTACGTATTTAATTATAAAGATTAATTACGTAAATCAAATGTCCACGATTAACAAATTAGAAATCTAATCTTAAATTTTTTATTTTGTTCCATTACACCTCAAATTTTAAAAATTATTATAATTTCAACGCTCTAATAAAATTTTTCTCGAAAAAAATTATTTAATGGTCAATTTCGCTCAAACTTATTTGATTAAAATGAATGAGTTTATAATTTTTTTTTTTGTTAAAATTAATAGGGAAATAATTATAACAAATTAATTAAAACTTAACCTTTAAGATTAAAGCTATCTGATAATTAATTAATATAACATAAGTCAATTAGATGTATAAAATTATATACAAATAAACAAAATTATGTCACTCATTTATTTTTGTTGGAATTTTCAAAGAATTTATTGTGCAAATAATAGGAGGGCATAATATAAAAGTAACAAAGTCCAGGAAAAACAATAATAATAAGAAAATTATTTCATTAATCATAATTAATTAATTAATTAATTACCAAAAGAAAATGAATTATGATGAATATATTAAACAAATAATGAAATTTAATAATGGAAGTCACCAAATTAAATAAAATTAGGGTCTTTCTCTCTCTCTCTCTAAATATTTAATATTAGTTGATAAAAATATAGCACTCATCATTTGCATAATATATTTCTTGGGAGGTCCTTATTGACTCTGACTTTTCACAACTAATCCTCTCTTTTCACTATAATTACACCAAAATTGTTTGGGATGGAATTTAAATATGAAAAGTCTAAGAAGTCCGAGTTAATAGTCACGAAACGGCTGATCCAATAAAACGGATTAGCTCTATTTTTGTGCGATCTCTAAAGGAGTCAGCCAAAAGATCTAGAAAACTGATTCGTTGAAAGGTTGATCTAGACCTCATTTAGTTGGGCAATGAATCCCTTAATGGGTCATCTTAGTTTACTTGATCAAGCCCCTAGGATTTATCGAGCCTTCAACCAATCTTTTGAGAGTTGACCAAGAGACTTTTGATGAACTTCGAAGCAAACCAACCTTAAAAGTAAGAAAGGTCGAAGTGTATTGACACTCTTTTGAAAGGACGTAAATTTTTTAATTTTAATTCAATAAAAGTTAATTAAATGGGTTGTAGATTGAATTATTGTTAATAGGTAAAATATAAAGTTGTGGGAAGTATTTGGCTTACTCCATTTGTATAGAGATAATTAAAAAATAATAATAATAAAAGACTTTTTGGGTTTTAGGGACACTTTTTTCTTTCATTTTAAATGATTGCCTCCACACAAAAAATTAAATTGACTTTTCTTCATTTATTACCTTCAAACTTATTTTGAAATATTGTTAAAAAATAATAATAATAAATAAATAAAGCCTTTTCTTTTTTCATGCCCAAAATTTGATTCAATCAAAATACTTTTCTTCTATTTCTTTATTAAAAAAAATTAAAAATTAAGCGAAAAAATCAAAATTTATTGATGGACTAATGCCCTGAGACGACCTCTTTTGTGACCGTACAACTCTTGAAAGCTATCTACCTCGACGAACAGCCAGAGTATCTAAAAGATAAATGAAAAAGGTATAAGCAACTTACAAGTTTTCATGGGCTTTACAGATTAACGACACCAAAAGTATTAAATAAAATGATATAATTTAATTTAATTTAAACATTTTTTAATATTCTACCCATAGCCTTGTCTCTCAAGGCTGAGTAAAGCAACATTTAAAAAATAATAATAATAATAATAAGGTTATGAAGATTAGAGCAGCCCTACCTCATTTATTTCTCTAACTCAAAACCCTAACCCTCTAAACATGAGGGCTTATAGGAAATTAATCATTCTTGCAGCTCAGCTAAGTTTTATTAATTAATAATTGCCTTTCTGTGCAAAGTAATTAGAGTGTTACTAGTTTTGGGACAAGTTAATTGAGGAGGCATACTAACTAAGAGGTTTTTCAACCTCTCTAATCTCTGTAACTCTTCTTTCCTTTCTTCCACCATTTTTAATGGTGACAAAATTGTCAATATCGCCACCAAATATCCTGTCAATTCTTTGTACGAATGTGATGATCAATCCATATACTTTAAAGGTTTACAACGTTACAAAGAATGGGCAGGATATTGTAGCTATCCTTGGATTGGAGGAATTATTCGAAGAGGATTGCTTAACCGTAGTACGAGCATGAAAAAATGAGTTTTTCTTATCACAACTTTTTTTCGAAGCAAAAGTTGTGAGATCCCACATCGATTGGAGAGGGGAACGAGTGCTAGTGAGGACGCTAGATCTCTAAAGGAGTAGACTGTGAGATTTCACATCAGTTGGAGAGAGAACAAAACATTCTTTATAAAGGCGTGCAAACCTCTCTGTAACAAGCCCGAAAGAAAAAACCCAAAAAATATAATATCTATTAGTAGTAAGCTTCCTATAAGTACTTACTCTAAGGTGGTGTCACCTTTTAGAAAGTTGGAAGGAGTGGTGTTTGGCTTTCGTAGGAGAGGGATTGTTAGGCGTTACTCAGCCACTTATGATGGTTTATACTTGTGGGTAGCAAATTATGTGGTGGTGGAGGTGTCTCTGCATTCAAGTCTAGCCTGTTCTTAGTTGACATGCATCTAAAAGTGCCTGAGTTGGAGCCTCAATACGTTTCCATCGGTGATTGGACCGACCACGGCATAATGTTGGGGACTTCTCTTATGATGTCTTATGACACACAATTTCAAGTTTTATAAGCATTCAAAAGCCCTTACCAACAGAAAAACAACCCTCTTTAATTCAATGCCATAAAAAAGTTCTGAGATTTTCATCATTCAGGCCAGGCCAAACGGACGGCAACACTAACAAACAACTCACACTATGAATGCAAAGCCAAGCAAACATAAAAAAGATTGAAGTTTTTGTTCATTAACTCCATGAACGTCTCCCCCAAGCTTTCCCTATGCTATTTCTCTACCCTTTTCTCTGAATGTCAGCTTTTAATGGCACATGGCCCTTTGGAAGCACGAGGAGGTCCTGAACATACAAAGCTTCCTCCATAACTCACTGGTTATTGAGAGGAACTGATATTTTTTTGTTTGTTTTGGTTGTGGTCTATATATATATGAGAACAGAATGTTGTGTTTTGGGCTTTTGTTACAGTTCCCAATTACAAATCCTTGTCTTGTTTAAATTTATTTATGATATTTCATCCAATGGCCATTAATGAGGGTTGGTGAAGAGGTTTTTTTTTTGGATCAGAGAGCGATTTTGATGCATAAATAAGAGTCTTTTACTGTTTATGTTTCTTCCAATTGGTACCATTACTTAATGTTCTTCACACTCTATTACTAACTCCTTATCTTCTTCCCTTCTCTCTCTCTCGCTCTCTCTCACTTTGCCAATTCCTTTTGCCTTTTCTCTTCCTCTCTCCCTCCTTCACAGGTCACTTTTCAAGTGTAAATTCTTCATTCTGTAGTTTTTTCAAGTATATATATATTCTCATCCTCACCTTTCTCATGGTTTCTAAATCATAAAGTTCTTAACTAATTGGTGCAATGAGGCTAGCTCAGTCCAGCATTTTGGTGCTCTCGCTATCGGTTTTCGTCTGCATCGGCTCGGTCGTCGGAGCTCGGAAGATGTTGTTCTTGGCTCAAGACAGTACCAGAGACAACAACAGCTTGACGATTGCCATGGAGAATAGCAGAAGGTGCAAGTCAAAGAAGCTGTATTGTTGTGGGTGCTTCTTCTCAAGCTCTGAGAAGACGATCAATAATGCTACCAGTAGTTCTGAGGAGAAAAGGGTTGTTCCTACTGGCCCTAACCCACTTCACAATAAGTAGAAGAAACTGAGATCAGATTATTATTGTATGTCTTAAGCTTTGTTTTGCCTTTGAGTTTGTTCTAATTTCTTTTGTTGATATAGCCTAACTTTTATGTCAGTGAAATCAAAAGCTCTTCCAACTCAACCCCATTTGATGTTTTCTTGTCCCCATTTGTTTCAAAGCAAAAAGGCTCAAACTTTACAAGGAAAGAGTAAAGAGTTTAAACCCATTAGAGATGATATTATCACACACAACTGTAATCTCACTTGAATGGAATGGGTGAAAGCAACCCAACAAGATGCATGAAATTTGATTGAGGTTTCCAATTCAAGGTGATGGCAATAAGGTAAATAGAGAGATGGAAGCTTTAAGGAGAAAGAAAATATGAAGAGAGAGATAGGAAAATGAAATCCCACCAATATGATACGCATATCCCAGATTTGGGAAAGGGCATTGAATTGAAATGGGTCAGAAAGGCAAACGAAAAATTAGGAATTCTACTTGGTGAACAGAAAGGGAATTGAATATTGGGCTGTTCTTCGTTTTTTTTTTGTAGCAGCTGACAAACAACTATGGACAGTGTGCATTCAATTTTACAAACTACTTTCCAATAAAAACTTTCTTTTCCCATTTACTCTCTGTTTCTCTCTCTACATTTTAAGCTCTTTTTTTATTATTATATTATAAGTTCAGAAGTAGTTGAATTTTCAAGTTTAAAGTTGATCGATCTTGTGAACTTCAGAAAATATTTTAACGTTTGATCATCTAAATGCCACAAAACTAAAAGGCTATGAATCAGATAGACACAAGACTTCAAGAAAAATGAGTAATTTACCTTGATTTTTCTCTCGTCCTGTGATGGGTTTGAGCTTCTCCTACGCTGGCGCTGATTCAAAAAGCCCAATTTTCAACTCTCAAGATCCTAACAGGAAAAAAGACAAACAGGTAGTGAACAAGACAACTTTGGTTTTGGTGAACAGAACATGAAAGAGAAAGAGAAAGAGAAGAGAATGATTTGGTTGTGTGTTTTTTGGTAATTAATTGGGATTGACGTTCTAATAAAAAAAGTATGATTAAGAAAAGGAGTGTAACTCACGGTTCAATTCCTCTTTAACAATCTTGGATTTGACATTCATGTTGACTTTCTTTTTCCAAACATCAAAACGATTGGTCAAAGCCTTTGGAATTCTGTATTTTGACCCAATCTCGTCTGTGTTTTCAGTCAATGCATTGGCATTGACACTACCACCACCGCCAGGTCTCTGTCCCACCTCTGTTTTTCTTCTCTTTCTCTTACTTGAATTGAAGATATATTTTGACTCCTAACAAAAATGAAATAATAATATTCTCCAACAGATTTGAGTCTCCTCTATTCTTATAATATAAAACGAAATCTCTAGAACAAGCATAAAAACAAGAAAGAAAGGCAAATAACAAAGCCATACCGTGAACACATTTCTTGTTGTTTTCAATTAGCTGTTGTTGACAGCAAACACTGTGAGTGTCTGGATGGATATCACAACAAGGCTCTAACTAGCATAACAGTTAATGTACGACACCACAGACAAACTATAATAGCTCAAGTCCACCGCTAGCAGATATTGTCTTCTTTGGAGTTTCTCTTTCGAACTTCCCCTCAAGGTTTTTAAAACGCGTCTATTAAGGAGAGGTTTCCACACCCTTGTAAAGAATGATTCGTTCTCCTCCCCAATCAATGTGAGATCTCACACAAACGTCCCTATCCATTTTTACAACGATCAGCCAAAAAAAATTGTGAAAATGAAGTTTGGATATTTCTATCAGAGGGCCAACTGCCAGTAGGAACAAATGAGAATTTGTAAGATCCGAGGGAATTATACACACTTCACCACTTGTTTACCTCTTTCGTGAGAAACTATGCTGGTTTTGTGTCATCATCTGTTCAGCTGAAGCATTTTCAGCACACTTCAGAGATCAGCTTTGCTGCTTCAAACCCAAAAGGCAAAGACAATAAAACAGATAACACAAGAAAGCAAAGACAATAAAACAGAGAAAGGGAAACCTGAATTTAATATTTGGTTGCAAGCTTCTTCATTTACGTTTTGCAGGCCAACTGAGGGATGCCTCGCCGAATACTAGAAGGTAATTTACAAGCTCCACACTGATTCTGACAGTAGTTCATACCAGATATGGAACTGAACTTTAACTTTGGCCTTTGTTTTGCCAAGAAATTTAAAGTTGTAGGTGCTTTCCCTCTTTCTAGTAATTTCATAGTGATTCAATTTTCATATTGGAACCAACAAAATTTACATGCTGTTGTTCCAGGAACCTCTGAAGGTCAGATGAAGAGCTCTTCATCTCTGCTACATTCTCCAGTTTTCTTCTTTTTCCTGGGGATGCTAGTTGTGCTGGTGATCTTGCTGATTCTCATATTGATTTTTAGGAAATTTCTCACACCGAATAAATTGGTGAAGCTATTAACAGGAACAACTCAAGGTAACAGAGTTAATTGTTAGATCTGAAGAAACTAGTAATGTTTATAATACTGCAAAAAAGTAAGTGCTTTCACCTCACGTTGCAGCATCGGCAGATTTGTTAAGCGAAAATCTCCACTCAATAAGTTACTTTGACTTTCACACACTGAAAAAGGCAACAAAGAACTTTAATCCGGCAAATCTTCTAGGCCTGGGAGGATTTGGACCCGTCTATCTGGTATGAGTTTCATTCACTAGAATAATTGATGCATATGAATTCTTTCCTGTTACATTTGCACCATCATGTGAAAAGGGTCTATATTGGGTAAGTGCATAAAAAAGATCAACCTAACACTCCCTCTTGTTGAAGTATTTTATTCCGTAGAAACTTAGCTTAGGACTAAATGGGAACCTAGCCTTATAGGGAACGCTAGAAGATGGAAGATTGGTAGCAATTAAAAGACTTTCACTAAACAAATCCCAACAAGGAGAACCAGAGTTTCTATCAGAGGTCAGACTGATAACAAGCATCCAACACAAGAACCTGGTTCGCCTGCTTGGTTGTTGCTCAGATGGGCCTCAACGGCTACTCGTGTATGAATACATGGAGAACAAGAGTTTGGATCTCATAATATATGGTAGTACTAGTAGTCCTTCTATATCTGATGTGATCTTCCCTGCCCTTTACCTTACAATGCAATAACGTTGTATATCACAATTGGTACAAAACAGGGGTAAGCGATCAATTCCTCAACTGGAATACCAGATTGAAGATTATCAGAGGCATTGCCAAAGGGTTGCAGTATCTACATGAGGATTCCCATCTAAGAATTATTCACCGAGACATCAAAGCAAGCAACATTCTTCTTGATGACAGATTTCAGCCAAAGATAGGAGATTTTGGGTTGGCCAGATTCTTCCCAGATGACCAAGCTTACCTAAGCACTACATTTGCTGGAACTCTGTAAGCTTTTCGTCTAATTTCATTTACTGTGAGGCACATCTTACAAATTAAAGCTTTACACATGCCCTTCAATTGTTCAGAGGCTACACAGCACCAGAATATGCAATTAGGGGTGAACTGTCAGAAAAGGCAGATGTATACAGTTTTGGAGTTATTGTGCTTGAAATCATCAGTGGCAGAAAAAACACAAATCTTTCTCTACCAACAGAAATGCAGTATCTTCCAGAATATGTACGTATAAAATCCCACAACTATTATCCAGTATTTATCAATTTCTAAGGTATTCAGATATGACTATTTAACCATACTAATATACAGGCATGGAAACTATATGAGAGGTCTGCACTAATCGAGCTTGTGGATCCAAAGATGAAGGATGATGGATATGTGGAGAAGAATGTAGTACATGCAATTCAGGTTGCTTTGTTATGCCTTCAGCCTCATGGAAACCTGAGACCTGCAATGTCTGAGATTGTTGCCATGTTAACATACAAATTTGAAATCATTCAAACACCTTTGAAACCAGCCTTCTTGGAAAGAAGGCCTAAAAGGAACAGAGATCTCTCGTTGACTAATCATGCATATACCATTCCTTCTCCATTACAGTAAAGGCAACGCCAATGCCTACTTTGTCTACCTAGCCATTGCATTTTTTTAAACATTGGAAAAGAATTAAATTAATTATCATATAGTTTTAACGTGGTCTTCATTCTTTATGTCAACAGGACATTGGTGTCTCAATTTTCACGGAACAATTATAGTAAGTTAAATAGAGATTATTATCACCAAAAATATTAATGTAATTTCACTTTGTTTCTGCTAATCTGCATTGTTTACATGTCATCGAAGTATAGTAACAAAATGCTTACTACATCGACTTACATTCCATCTTGAGAAAGTGCATTATTCTAATTTCTTGTAGAAGATATAGATGTTTTCCGTACATATTCTTGATTGTGAATACTTTTTCTAGATTTCCAGGATGTTATCTCACAACATTGCAATGTTAATTCCAGCATCAACAAGACATTCACAACTATTATTTCTGTAAAAGTTAAAAAGGGTGTTATCTCACAACATCGTTAACTAATGTTGTATTTGTTGGTGAATTTTGGTGGCTAATGAAGCTTTAGATGAATGAAGACGCCAAGAAGAAAAAAACGGATTGATAATTTTTTTTTCATATCTTAACAACTTAAGCTTTTGAGTTTAAAGACAATTTGACATGATAATATTATAGTAGAAGTTCTAAACTCTAATTCTTGTAGTAATATCTCCCACCATCATTTATATTAGAACTAAATTAATACCTAAACCCACTCACCCGAAGAAATAACGGGCTATATTAACAAGTTCAAATCTACCCGAGGCTTAGCCTAATATGTCAAAGCTTTTGGGTATTCATTAAGAACTATAACTTCCATGAAACATTATCTTGTACATATTTCATCATGAATAAATACAAGCCAAAATCTCATATTATGCATTGCTACCTTCATGGTTTCCTCTTCCAAGATTGAGATCGCTTAGGACAAAAGAATATCTCCTTCTAAGAAACTCTTACCTTGTGGTTGTGACTGACATTGGTCATTGTTCCTCTTAAGGAACTTTGAGCTTTCACAAGTTGGAGAAATTTACTTCCAAATTAGATCAGCGTATTCTGAATGATCAACAAACGGAATTCTATTGTGCTGATAAAACTTGCATATTCTTTCATTTCTCAATTTCTCTTCTCTTGACGGCGGATCACTCTTATTCCACTTTAACAATGTGGAAATTAAGCCCATCTCCTTATTTCCTACAGAAGATGGATGAATCTTTTAAAATATGAACAACCATTTTTATGTATATTAAGAAAAAAAAATACAAATTTTTGTTCCTGGATTATTTTAGTTTCAGGCCCCATCCCACTGATCCACAGAAGCGAAAACACAGCCCCATCACCTACTCCTGAATCCTGAATGACAACATCATATTTTATTAAGCTTTCCATGCACTAACTTAAACCCAGGACTATCACTTAATATAACTTGACATCGTAGCACTACAAAAAAAATTTCCCTATCTCTTCAAACACTGCTCTGCTTATCGTAATTTCCAAGACGGTGAAAGGAAAAAGTTATTAAACTACTGCATGAGGCAAAAGAATATCTGTGTAAACGCGCCAATGCATTTTTTTAAATGTATATAAATGATTGCATTGGACGGCTATTACTGCATTTTTTTTTTTTCTTGAAACTTACCCTTGTCTGGAGAATCAGAAAGGTGGAACCCATAACAGACTGCCATATACATTACTGCCCGTGCTATATCTCCTCTAACCTGCCAGTGAAAACCATTGCAGATAAGAAAATCATGATATATAAGAAAAAATATAATTCTAGTAATCACTGCCTTCAATATTTAACCATTGCAATGTTTCTGACTTTGAATCCATAATCGTTTTTCCTGGGGAAGAAAGAATCTCAATTTCAAGATTGCCAAAAGTTTAACAAAACTCTTACGCGCTTAGGTGGTGCCCATTTTTCCTTGTCTGTTTCAGTATCATAAGCAGCTTCTTTGTAGGCTGGCTTCATACATTCTGGGGAGTTAACTTAGCATTCTCCAAAATATTTGTTTCCCCGTGAGGAATTCACTGCACAACCTTCAATTAGTTACTAATATCAAACTACTTTCATCAACTTGTCGCCAGAATGGAAAATTCTCAAGTTACCATTTGCATCTGCTGGATGGATATTCTGTAAATCGGTCAGGGATGGACCTCTTCTGAGCCCATAAGAGCGAGGCCACAAATGCTCCCCTGAATAACAAGATGGAAAGAAAAACGAAAAATAACACTTCATATATGAGTGCTGCTGTTAGTTTGTTTTGCTATACCACATACTGAATGTTCTATCTCTTACAATAAAGTATGTAATGGTCATACAAATCTTTTACTAAAATTCCCATGAAAGCTATTTAAACTGAAACCTTTAGAGCCTGAGGTCAAAAACTAGTTTGCTCAAGAACTTACTGTTCCAACCCTCAGGCTTCCCTGCTAGCGACTTTGACACAACCCTTTGCGAGTAAATCTTCACTCTGTGGTATAAACTGACAATAAATATTCTGGTAGAATTCATTAACTATGTAGAATAATAAGGTGCAATTAACTAACATGCCCGCGTCACCAAAATCGGAAAAAGTTGCATTCCCATGAAATAATTAGATTTGTATGAATGGAAATTACAAACCAAATAAAATTGAGCATTACATTTCTGATGAGGCTTCTGGTTTGTCCACATCAGCAGCATCAAGAATCTTGATGGCATCCCAGACCTGTTCATTACATCATCTTAGCCGAGCAATAGATGCGTAGTCGACGTATTAAACGAGCTAGAAGAAGCAGTCAAGCTATAGCTAAAAGTTCATAATAAAAACTATAAGGTACCTCTTTATAGGACAAGGAATGATGTGCAGCAATGATGGAATTTAGCTTACGTTTGAGAGGTTCACCTGTTAACTGTGCTACATTAGCATAATACTTGTTAACATCTTCACAAGGATATCTAACAGAAGGAGATGGATAATCGGGGGCTTGTGCACAGTGGTACTAACCAGTGAAAGAGGGCGGAGACGGAGCAGCGAACTCGTATAAACGGGAGCTTATTGAGGCTATGGACTGGCTTAGAATGAAATCCAATGCGAAGCTTCGTAGATTTGGTCCGTGGAACCAAAGGAAATTTCGATTTCGATATCGATTTCCACTGAAAGCGGCTGGGTGTAGAAGACGACTCCAGATTGCAGGGTCTCTGCTGAGTCTCGATTCCGGACACCAATTTTCTCAGGGAGAAGCTGTCGATCGTCATGGCGCGTAACATTTCTTACGCTTCCGAAATCTGAAACAGAGAAGTAACGATTAACGACTCTCAACCATTGGAACTTTTTTGTTTATTTTTTTTTTTTTTTTTTTTCTCTTACTCTCTAAAACGCCATTGGAGCCATTTCATTGTTCATAAAACAGGCTTAATCAAATTTTAAAATATATATATTCGCTCTTATTTCTTGTTCTCCATCCAACAAAACTGAATTTGAGAATTAAATTTAAATCGAAGGAATCTGTTCTTCTTATTCTTACGATCGAGTGGAATCATGTCAAATGGTCTCCTCCATTCGAGAAATTCAAGATCGAGTGGAGGCATGGAGCCAAACCCTCTTGTTGGAGAGCTTCCTTGATTTGAATTTTTATAGATTGATTATCGGGTGTGTGTCATCGTGTTAATGGATGAAAGGGTCGATCGACTCTAGGTCTAGACCCTAATAAAACCTAGAGAGGATTGTTCTTCACAATATGAACTTACTTTTTAATATGAAAAAAAGGCTATCATATCATATCACATAGAACATTAGAAGAGCACATCATGGAGCCAAACATGAAACGTGGGACAACATGGTATGTAAGAAAATAAAAATAAAAATTATAGGTTCGTTATTCCTACACTATTTTTCCCTACCCACAAAAAAGAAAAAATGTATTTTTAAAATTTTAACATATATAAAAAGAAAAAACTAAGAATCCCCTTCTCATCCCCGTTAATTCCATTGCCCTCCATGTCCCTTTCAAGATCCGCTTTTCCCTCTGCCCCTCCGCTGTTTTCCCTTTTTGGCCGCTCCTCTCTCCGCCGCCAGTACCCCCCGTCCGCCGGTACTTTTCGACGGTGATGGGTTGGTGGAGTGGAGAAAATTGGAATGGGTTGGTTACTCTGTTTTTTTACCTTTTTTTGGGGGGAGGGAGGGTTTGCTCTGTTCTAGAAGCTGGTTGGGTCCGTGATTTCTGAATCTGACACCGTTATTTATTACACGTCTGCCATCATCAACCCGGTCCCTTTTCCGGCATGCTTCCCCATGATCCCCATCCGTCGCTGTCTCTTTAATTCCGATGGTAATGAAGCTACCGAAAACCTGCGGCTGTCAGATATTATCATTTCTGACCGTAGATACAGCAAATCCGACGCATGTACATCGCTCCATCTCTGCTGCCCCTGTACCACCACCGGCGCCCTTGGCGACACTATGATCCGGTGCTCGAATCTGCTCTGATTCTGATTCTGATTAGTTTTCTCGTCCGGCAAAAGTAGCCCGTCCTTCCGGTGCCGATCGAAGCACCCGATGGCCACCGTTTCGCTTCTCTTGCTGTCGAGGGATCGTCTCAACAATGCCGGATCTCGGCGACTGGATTCACCGGTTCGCTTCTCACCCACCGATGAGTGTCTGCCGGAGACTCTCCCGGATCCAGCCTTGCCACTTTTTCTCCCCTGTTCTAAGTTCAATACTACATCCTTAGAGTTTGAATCCCGCGGCGGAGGCAGCGGAGGCGGCGCCGGCGCCGGGTTGTAGAGAAATATATTGACGTCTTCGATTAATAAGACGTCCTCCGGGTCGACTCGGTAGCGGCAGAGAGGGCAAGTGGAGTGGGCGTCAAGCCAAGTATCGACACACTCGACATGGAACGCGTGTTTGCATTTCGGAAGGAGTCTAAGAATCTCCGTTTGTTCGAATTTGTCGAGGCAAACGGCGCATTCGAGGCCTTCCTTTTGACCGCTCAACGACCCAAATCGAAAAATCGGCAGCGATTCAATTACCGCCTGGTCGATGCCGGAGTTCTTCCTCGTCGTGAAGCTCGGAGCGCCCATCACCGAATTGGGATATCTCGAGTACCCAACCACCACCGCATTCCCACGCTTGCAGTGCTTGGCGTAGAGAAGGAGAAGGAACGTGATAGAGAAAGTGGTAGTGAGAACGCCGACAACCACCGCCATGCTAGGCCGGAACGTAGAGTAGACGGGTTTGTCTTCCGGTGGAGGAGGAGAGGGCAACGGCGGCGGTGGGGGAGATGGAGAAGCATCAAAAACAGTTTCCTGTATGGCCTTGAAGCGATACAGAATTGGGTGAGGAAGCAAAAGGTGTAGAGAAGGATCGCCGGGGAGGGCGGCGGCGGCGGCGGCTGGAGAGACGACGGTGAAGAGGAAAATCAGAGAGAATAAGAAGGAATCGGGAAGGGTGCCCATGTCTGAATCAAACAGAGGAATGAGTTAGAAGGAGAAAGGGGTGGGGGGGAGCAAATAGGAATTTTCAATTTTAATTATTGCCTTTTGTTTTATGTTTAGACTAAAAAAATAATAATAATAGTTTTCTGGGGGAGAGGAAGAAAGATTCGGATTTGGGCATGGATGTGATTTTGGAGAGATCATGCAAAAACAAAGCAAACAAGCCAAACAAACCCAAAAAGCTGTCTACATTATTATTTTCTAATTAATTAATTAATATTAACTATTTCTCAAATATTTATAATTAATATTAATAATATATATATATAAAAAAAAAAAAAAAAAAAGTGAAGATCGAACAAACACGGTAGACAGAGCAGGGATGGTGACGTGGCAGAAGTAAATGTGGGTCCGGTGGGTAACTGGGCACGTGACTGATGTTGGGGGTCTGCGTGCAACAGAGCAGACCATTGGATCGGTCCCCCGTGGCCTGCGCCCCTGTTGGTTCAGTTTGCCGACTCCCCACTCTCAAGCCCACAAACTTAGCCTCTCACTCTGTCTTTTTCGTCCTACAATTTTCACTCTTTCCCTTCATCGTCCCAATGCCCAATCTCAAACTTCATGCATCTAATAGTTACCAGAGAAGTTCCATGTTCATTATATTATTCCACTTCTAGGAGAGTTTGCAAACATAGGACACACAGTATCAAGGGCTGTTTCAAGAGCTGAGTTCGAGAAACTTGAGGGCCATCGGGTGCTTGGCTTCCGAGAGCTTGTCGGGTGGGAGGATTTCAACGATCTCGCCATCTACTAGCAGGCAGACTACATCTGCAATTCGCTGGATTTGTTTGATGCTATGGGAAACCATTATTATTGTTAATCCCCATTTCGTCTTCAGCTTCATCAACACATCCTCGATGTTCTCAGTCGAGATCGGATCCAATGCACTCGTTGGCTCGTCTAGCAACAATACCTTCAGCAGAGTAGACATGCCTATGATCAACAATACTAACACACAGCAGAAGTTGGATTCATTGCTAAACTACACAGCCATAAACAACCAAACACAAATGCCATTCAAATTCCTTGATGAGGGGAAGGAGAGGATTCATCTCCATACCATCTCGATCCTGACCACATAATCTACTGCCCAACTATCTAAATTTCGTATCGAATTACCTATGACTCGTTCATGTTTTCTCAATATCACTAGCAAAATCTAAGAGAAGACATGTTGTTATGTGATTCGGTGAATGCAAGTAAGTGTATATACCTCAGGTGCATTCGCTAAGGTCCGAGCGAGCGCGACTCGTTGAGCCTGCCCAACGGATAGTTCAGAACCAATCTGGCTAAAGAACGAGGAGTCGAGGTCCGCTAGATTGAGTAACTTATGAACTTCATCATCACTAAGCCTTTTTCCCCTTAACTGTGGACCATATCTGATATTATCAGCAACAGTGCCTGAAGGACGGTATATAAAATGGATTAGCAAAGCATATTTGCTGCAGCCAAGTTTTTGACGGTAATAGTCTAAACGCATAGGCTTCTCAGAAAAGTAAAACCACTTTGAATTTGTTCTCATACGACCCAACATATGTTTGAAGAATTTAAAAAGTAATGCATCATTGTTCTTAAAAAACAAGTTATGATGATTTAGACTTCTTCAAAGAAAGTCAACTGCTCACAACTAATTTCAAACTAGTTTACTTTCGCCTGCAATTTTCTAGGAATTTCCCAAAATTTCCAATGGCACACATGAAACCCTAGACGTGAAGAAACAAGAGAAATCGAGAAATCGGCGCACCTTCAAATAGGGCAGGAATCTGGAAGAGCATCCCGACTTTCCGGCGAAGGCCGAGAACGTCGAGATCGACGATATCGTGGCCATCCAGAAACACCGTCTCCGCTGGCGGCTCCCACAGCCGATTGAGAGCCCGAAGCATTGTGGATTTGCCGCTGCCGCTCGGGCCAATAATTCCGACGATCTTCCCCCTAAGTATATCCACATTGATACCTCTCAGAATCGGATTCTCCTTTCCGTCCGAAAACTTCGTCAAATTACGTATCCGAATCTTCACATGATCATCCACTCCTCCGTTTTTGGTTTCCTCGTTCACCACTAGTAGGTGCTCTCGAAGCCGATCGCCTACAAATCCACACCAAATTTCCCATCACCGGCAAGATTCATGAAAAACAAAATTACTAGACGAAGTGAATCAAAAGTTGAAGAACTTACGGATACCGTCAGAGTCATCGGCCGGGTTAAGAGTATCTGAAATCATTCTGCTCGAATCAAATGAAGGATTTGAGGCGAAAATGAGGAAGGGTGAGTTGAAAATTGGAAAAGCTTGGTGTCGGTCAATAATGGCGTGGAATCAGAAGAAGATGGAACTGAATAAAGCCGATCCCAGTTGAAAATTGAAATGAATTGAGAGTGGCTTAGAACAAGGACGTGTGTTTTGTTTTGAAATTGTCTTATGGAATAATGTCATTCTTTTATAGACAAATAAGCATATTTTGATAATGATGGTCACTATGGATTTTAATTCCCTTTAATTGGTTAAATATAATTGTAGTTCATTTGTTTTATCCCCAATTATTTTTATTAAATTATTAAATTCGACATTTTTCTAGTTGGAGAAGAAAACGGAGCATTACTTCTAAAGATGTAGAAGCTCTCGCATTTTAAAATTGTGAGGCTAATACATATTTACTAACGATGAGCTTGGACAATTACAAATAGTATCAGAGTCAGGATGTTGGGCCCCGGTGAGGTGAATTGTGAGATTTCACGGTTAGTTAAAAAGGGGAACAAAACATTTTTTATAAAAGTCAAGATGTTGTGGCCTAAGGAGGTAAGGAGGAGGAGTGTGAGATCTCACGGTCAATTAGAGAGGGGACAAAACATTTTTTACAAGAGCCAAGATGTTGGGCGAGGAGGTGGATTGTGAGATCTCATAATCACTTAGAGATGGGAAGAAAATATTTTTTTATAAAAGTCAAGATGTTAGACCCCAAGAAGGTGGATTGTAAGATCTCAGTCAGTTGAAAGTAGGTGGATTGTGAGATCCCACAGTCAGTTGGAGAGGGAAACAAAACATTTTTTTGTAAGAGCGAAGATGATGGCCATGAGAGGTGGATTGTGAGATCCCACCGTCAGTTGGAGAAAGAAACAAAACATTTTTTTTACAAAGGTCGAGTTTTAAAAATACGAGGCGGCGATTGTAGAGTTCTAATCATAAATACTACATTTATTAGAACATAACAAAATTAATACGAGATTAATTTTCGATACAAATCAAACATTGTTGGGTGAAGAATTAAAAATGCTAGGGCTTGTGAAGAACTCTGCCTGCAAGAAGGGCAACGTCCATGACAAAGGAGATGACCTCCACCACTTCACTAATTTCGCATTTGTTCCCTTTGAAAGGAGCCGATTTTGATCTCTTGAACTTCTCCATGCAGTTCAAGAAGCTCTTGCTGCACTCTTCGCTTAAATAGTCATCTGCCAAATAATCCAAATAATTATTTCTTTATTCATATATATAAACAATTTAAAATCAAAATTACAGGCTGGAAATTACCTGTTTTTTTTTTTTTAATAAATAAAATTTCATTTATTTAATTATAAAGTAAGCTATCCATGGACCGTCACAGCCACCTTACATGTGAGGTTCATTGGTTCACTCACATAAATAGACAATTTTACCCTTCCCATCAAACCACTTAACTTTTTAAATTAATGATTCCACAAATTAAAAAAATTATTAATTCTCAATCAAACACTAAAATTTATAAATCAATTTCTTACCCTTCATTCATCATATCCCTAAAAACAAATCCATTCCTAATAATTACATACCCGAGTCTTTTTTCTACTCGCTCTCGTTACGAGAACGAAATGACGTCCCAGTTCGATTCGAGACCAAGATTCCTTACCACTCGAACTAGGTTTGTCGAGTAATTAGGGGTTCTCGTAGATCGAATCGTCTATTTTTTTTTACTATATATTATTTATGCTCGTAAATGTTAGAAACCACAAATCTCCAGTTCACTTTGAACATAAGATCTCGTGAGCTTTGTTTTGGGTTTCCCCTTAATTAAGTCATATATGAGCATTATTGGGTATAGAAAAAGGAAGGGAAACTCACTGTTCTTGGCAGCAACACAGGCATCATGATTCATGCAACAAGCATCCAAGCCATCGCAGGGGCGTTCGCCGGGGCAGCCGCTATACAACAGCCCACAATATTTGCCATATCTCAAAAGTGGAGGCACTGCAAATTCCAAAATTTAGACAAGGCTCAAAAAACAAGACCCAAAAACAACACAAACCCATAAAAAAGAACCAGAGAAGAATTAGAAGAACCTGAACAGAACTCTGACTCGCATTTTCTGCTGCAATCTTTGCTCTACAAACCAAACCAAACAGATCAAATCAAGCCAAAGAAGAAGCCAAAGAAGAAGAAGAAGAAGACGAACCAGAGTGATTGAGGCATCGAGGGCCTGGACGCCGACGTTGAGGGCGTGAGTGGGCGCAGAAACAATGGCGAGACAAAGAAGAAGAAAGGAGTTGAAGGGGTGAAATCGAGCCATTTCTCTTGGGTGGGTGGGTCTCGTTTTTCTCAGAAAAGCTTTGAATTTTGGTTAAAAGTTGAAAACAAAAAGGTGGGATTTATAAGTGAGAGAGGAAAATGGGTTGTCTTGTAGTGGCTCGTGACATGGTGTTTTGGAAACGTTTGCCAATTTGATTGAACCAGAAATGGTGGTGTGGGTTATCTGGCGTTGGTGGCTCTCCCTCTCCCCTCGTGAACCCAAAAATAATAATAATAATAATAATAATAATAATAACCTTTTTTTTTTTTTTTAGTTTTTATTAAAATAAATTTCAAATGTAAAAATAATATATGGTTCCTATAGTTTTGACTCCATTTATACTTATAGTATGTTAAAATAATAATATATTGGTCCAATTAATTTATTTATTAAGATTTGTTAAATTATTATTTATTTTAATCCTAAAAACACAACATTTGAACCTATTTTTAAATTTTATCAATAAAATTTTAAAAAATATTGTCGTATATTAATTAATATGATAATAATTTGTAATAAAGAGTAGAGCATGAAGATAATTAAATGAAAATCTTAACTTATAATAATTGAATTAAAAGCATATTTAAGTTAGGATAATAGAATTTTAAAAAAATTGCATAGAAATGTGAATATCATTTGATTTATTTTTTTAACTTATTACACAAATTCAATGACAAATCTCTTTCCTTTTTGCCGACAATAAAAGATCTGAAAGAATCCTTACGAAGAAAATTAGGCTAAAATATAAAAGAAAAATATTTGTTTATTTATGCAACTTGCTCATGATTTGTTTATTTAATTTTATTTATTTATTTATTTAGAGAATTACAATTGTTAATATTGTTCAATACAAATGGATTACTTTAATCCGTACACGATTGACTTACATGTCTTTTTCTATCTCACTTGAAAATCCGAAATAGTCGAAGTTAATTTGATTTATTGTTCAACCAAATTCTTGTTTTTATTAGATTGATGGTATTCCATAGTTTCTTATCGCGTTAATTACTAATTTTCGGTCACTGAAATTCCATATTAGTGTGGGGTGTTAGAGATTGAAGTCGAAAAACAAACCGATATGCAACAATTAAGGCTCGTGTTTGAGGAGAATTATAGATTTTGAATTTCATTTTTTTTTTTGTCAAATCTTGTGATGAATTTAATCATTACTTTTTGAAAGATGTCTCTATTTTGTCAATGTTGAGAGGAATAATCTTTTATGTCAAAGCCAACATTCTTCGACTACAGTATGAAATCATTTATGTCACGACAATGTCTTTATCTATACATGAAAGTTCTATAATTAGTATCCACTATTGCAGATGGTTAATGATTAATTAAGTGGAAAATCACTAAATTTCATTAATTAGGATTAAATTTGTAATTAAGCTAAATTAAAAAAATGACCGCTTAGTATTAATAATTTTTTAAAATTTACAATATTATTTTTTTACCTTTTATAACTATTAAGTAAAAAAATTCAGTTATGATTAAAATGGTTGTTTGTATTAAATTACACACTTTTCGGTCCATATTCTAACGGTATTTTTTTTAAAGATAATATTGCAATTAAATAATAAAGATATTTTCTTTTTATAATTTAGAGAAGTTTCCACGTGTGTGTATATATATATATATATATATGCATAGAAGCCCAAAAAAGGCGAAAGAAAAACGGAGATATTTTGAGGTTCAGAAATATTTTGCGAGAGGAGAGCGAGGAGTCGGAATAATTTCCCCCCAAGAAAATGTCAATACGCCAAATCAACGGTGGCGCGTAACATCGGAGCCTTTACAATCCGTCCCATCTCTTACCACATGCGTCCATGGACGAAAACGATGGCTGTGGACCCAACTTCTCTGAAAAGAACGGCAATGGCAGAAGCAACGAGTTCCCTGTTTGTTCACTTCCATTGTTAACTACAGCAACGCTTTGAATAAGAGCTCATACCTTTTCACTTTTCACCTAGCTAAGTTTTGATTCCTCGTTAACTCTCCATGAACATGCGATGAGGTTACTTCTATGAACAATGGAGCTGGTTACTCGGAGTGCATCGTTGTCTTCATCTGTTTCCTTTCTGCGTACTTCAAATTCGAGTTTTCCCGAATTTCGACGCCGTAGTTCGAAGCGCAATGTAATTCCAATTCGGAGGAGAAGTGATATCCATTTGGATTTGGATGTTGATTGGATTCATTCTAGGATCAATGTATCGGAGACTAGAGCGAGTAGTCGTGGAGCAGAGGTGAGAACTTCAGTCACCATGGCGGAAGAGGTGGAGATTTCCAATTCGAATCGTTTTGAAGTTTTTGAGGGCACTCCGACTCCTTTCGGTGCCACAGCTAGAGACGGCGGGATTAATTTCGCCATCTATTCTGGCAATGCGGTTTCAGCTACTCTGTGTTTGATAAATCTTTTTGATCTGCAGAAGGTTAAGTCGAAATCGTCTCGGATTATTGCTTATACACTGTCCATTTTTTTTTTTTTTCTTCTTCTCCGTCTCTCTCTCAAGAGCAAGCATCTCATTCGACCGGTAGCTATAGCTATTATATTCAATTTATGGTGATATGCATAAAAACTTCGAGCAGCGTTTCTTTGGATGGAACTCTATACACAATTAACAAGTACATCTGTGGCGAACTAAAGGAGTAGCACCTTTAATTTTGTTATTATCATTATTATTTTGTTGGTTCTTTTTCTGTTTTCTTTTTAATGTTTCATTTCCCTTCACACGAATTCATATTGCAAAACTTATATTTCTTGAGGCAATCATGGCTCAAGAAGTTTCTCTGTAAACGTGATCTTTGAATTAGTTTGCTTTCAACCGTAGGTTCACTATAGCTAACGGTTACCGCTTACTTTTTACAGAAGAGAGTGGCCCAGGAGATCACTCTTGATCCCTTAACTAATAGGACTGGGGATGTCTGGCATGTATTTCTGAAGGGAGATTTTACCGATATGCTATATGGGTACAAATTTGGTGGGAAATTTTCACCTCAGGAAGGATGCTACTTTGACCCTTCTCGGATTTTGTTGGATCCATATGCTAAAGTTCGTGTTTTCAACATTTTCTTTTTGTATTCATTTATGATGATTAGTTTTATCCCATATTTATCATTTGTATTATTTCCCTACTGTGATGTGAATAAATTGAAATTTGTTCGAGAGGGTGTATAGAGGAGTTTGCTGACTTCCTATTTCTTTCCTCAGGCCGTTATTAGCAGAGAGGAGTTTGGTGCCTTGGGACCCGATGACAACTGCTGGCCCCAAATGGCTGGCATGGTACCCACCGTTGATGATGAGGTAGAAAATGCACTTCCCATTTGGCTAGCTTTACCATTCTATGCTTCTTTTGCTTTCAGATTTCTGTAGTTTGTCTAGTAAGCTTATATTAATTGAAGTTGAAGCACGAAGGGAAAGATTATTGTGGTACAGTGCTACTTGATCTTTATTTTGACTGTATTGCATTATATTCTTTTAAAAGATCATCTCTTATTGTTATTAGTTTAGAGAAAAATGCCTTTCTTCAAGAAGAAAACCTTTTCTGGACCCTAAATGCTTATTTTAAAAAAAAAAAAAAAGAAAAAAAAAAAGAAGAGAAAATGATTCTTCCTCAAGCCACAGGAAGTTAAGTAGTCTCCCTCTATAAATGCTTTTGAAAGACAATACAGTTCTATCTCGTTGTAGTTTGCTTTCTATGTTGAAGGCATCTAACATGCTGATATATCAATATGTATTTGATGTGATGTTTTCAGTTTGATTGGGAAGGGGATTTACCTCTGCAACACCCACAAAAGGATCTTATAATATATGAAATGCATGTACGGGGGTTCACCAGGCATGAATCAAGTCAATCAGGATCTCCTGGCACCTATCTTGGTCTAGTTGACAAGTTAGATTACTTGAAGGTACATTACAGAGTGCTTCTATTACAAGTCAATCATCTATACCCCTTTCTGCGTGCCTTTTTCTTAAAATCAATTAATATATCTTTTATCTAAAAAACTCTGCAAAAGCTATTGTCAGCGAAGTCCAACATTTTTTATCCATTCTTGATTTTGCTTTTCATGTTCCCAGCTTAAACATAATGTTAAGAAGAAGATTTCAATTTTTTGAGCAAATTTAGAATTAATTAATTAAAAGTCAAAAGGAATTTTATCTTATATAGGGGACTGGCATCATCATGAACTCTTGGTTGTATATGTATCAAAAACTCTTGGTTATGCACTATAAAAGTCTGTATAACTAATGTTGTCTACAAACAATTCAATTACTTTTTGACTTCTATGTTTAGCAAACTAGTAAACTAATAAAAGAAAGTCAAATATAATTATCAACTATCAAATTCCCAAACCTATGAGTTTTTTTCTTGCTGACCCATGAATTAAAACTACTACATGTCACTGACTTATAAAATATGTTTCAGTGAAAGATAAAATAAGGTATGGTATGGAAGAATTACTTGCTAGTGGTAATGAAACATTTTCATTATTTGATCAAATAGTTCTTGAACCTCTTTGTTTTCGGCTTGGTTATGGGAGGCCTGATTAGAGTCCCTTTCTTTAGTTGGGATTGGTTTTTTTTTTTTTTTTTTTTTTTTTTTTTTTTTTTTGTGGGTGTTNGCATCAAGGCTAGCATTTCCTTGAGTTAAAAATATATACGTGACCTAGTGAAGTATTGTATTTTGTATCTGATCAGGCTTTCTGCCCATCACTCCACTCAAACCTAGTGAAGTATTGTATTTTGTATCTGATCAGGCTTTCTGCCCATCACTCCACTCAAACCTAGTGAAGTATTGTATTTTGTATCTGATCAGGCTTTCTGCCCATCACTCCACTCAACTTTATGGACTTTGAACCTAATAATTTCTTAGTTTAATTTTCTCTTTTTGTTTGTAAATGCAATTTAGAATCCTTGCTATGGTTCTGTCCTTCCATTACCACAAATGTTGATATCTATAACAAGTAATGCATATAGTGTCCCAACTCTTTTTAATTATTTTTCCTTTCAGGAACTTGGGGTCAACTGTATAGAGTTAATGCCATGCCATGAATTCAATGAGTTGGAATACTACAGCTACAACTCTGTCTTGGGTGACTATAAGTATTTATCTGATTCCTTCATTTGGAGAACTTTTACTTTTCTTTTCTTTTCTTTCTTTCTTTCTTTCTTTCTTTTTTTGCCAAGTTTAATGCTGGCTTCAAATTTTCCTCTGAAAAAGGGCTGATGTCCTTGACTGTTTTTGTCTTCCAATGGCTTGAAAAATTAGTTATGTTGGATTCTGGATCTCCTTAAAATAATAATAATAAATGAGTCCATATACCAAGTTTCTTGATTTTTGTCTTTTTCTTTTTTGTCATTAAATCATATTAAGTCCAAATCTTTGTCCAGGGTGAATTTTTGGGGATATTCAACAGTCGGTTTCCTGTCACCAATGATAAGATATTCTTCTGCCGGCATTCGAAATTGTGGCCAGGATGCTATAAATGAATTCAAGCTTCTCATTAAAGAAGCTCATAAACGTGGAATTGAGGTGGAAGACTGAAATACTTCCGTGGTTACTTTTGAAAGATTTCTTATTTTCACCTTTTTATCTAGCATTTCTTTTTTTTGGTCAGGTGATCATGGATGTAGTTTTTAATCACACGGCTGAAGGGAATGAAAATGGCCCAATTTTTTCTTTCAGAGGTGTTGATAATAATGTGTATTACATGCTTGCTCCAATGGTACGTATCTGTAAGATTATAATTAGCTGTCCTTGCTTTTTATTAAGAGGAGAATAACATGGCATCAGTATGATTTCTCAGTTTCTTACTTAAAAAAAGCATTAACAAAAGATGGAAGAATGGTCTTTCAATTTTCTGAATTCAGCGTTCTTCAAAGTTTATGTTATTTTATCTATATGATATTTTGATAGTGCTTCAACTGCTTGAAACACGTACATTCCTTTTATACTGTGGTTAATCGTGGAATGAAAATCCCTAATTTCCTCCCATCTAATGTTTAAGATATCCTAGAGGATGGAAAACCTAAGCATGCCACTGCTTGTTGCATAGAAAAGAAAGGAAAAGAAAAGACCTTTAGAGTTGATAATTGCTGAAATAAAATGGTGAATGGAGAAATATTTAGGAACTAACGGCTGGTTCTAATTCTTTATATATGTTTAAGCCTGTGATATGTGCATTCAATTGATGGAGCCTGGGCATACAGTATTTCTCTTACTTACACTGGATGGTTGCTTTAAATTTAAACTGGTAGGGCAATATTACCTATGTGCTAAAATTTAAGTGGAAGATAAAGCAATGGGTATGGTTTAGTTTAGTCTTCTTATTTCCCTTTTTTTTTTTTTTTGCCTTCTTTTAATTAATGCTTCATGTTGAAAAATCTAAATTCATCCTTTTTATTTATTTATTTTATATAGTCTTACCATTGTTTTTCAGGGAGAGTTTTATAATTATTCAGGATGTGGAAACACATTTAACTGCAATCATCCAGCTGTACGTAGATTTATTGTGGACTGCTTGAGGTAGATATATCATAGTTGTAGATACCATATTTTTGGCATATGTTAATTTCGGTTTATAGAAACACATGAAAAGAGGTATAGGAGAAAGAAAGATGCGATGTCTGCTTGTAGAAAGAATTATAGGGAATTAAGCAAAGTTGCTCCACAATATATCAAAACTAAACAAGAACAAAATTTGGCAAAACAAAAAAGAAGTAAAAAAAGAAAGAAAATAGAAAAAGAGAGAGAAGCCCCACTGTAAAAGGGGTCTGTACGAGGAACCAAATTGAAGATCACAAAAAGAGCTTCAATTATTGAGAGGGTGCGGGAAATAATAAACTCCTAGTAGATATATAGAGGTAAGTGTCAAACCTAGTCATAGTCCACTCCTACTTTCAAGGACTCTCTAACCCGCCTGAATTTTATTTTTTAAAACTCAAGCCACGTATTCCTCAAATTAGGGGAAAAAAAAAAGCTACAAACCAAAGAGCCTCTCCCTCGTCTTGAAACAGACAGAAATAACCTATTACAAGCCAAAACACATTAGAAGTGTAAACAGAACTATCCCAAATTCAGTATACAAATTGACAGCCGCGCAGAGCCAAAACTAAACTCCTAAAAATATTCTCAGAGTAGGCACCAGCCCTAATAACATAGAAGAAAGTCTTCGAATATCATCAGTAGGATTTTATGCATGTCCTGCTTTCTATATTTTAAATATTCTGCTATCTATCAGATTATTGCGTCTTACCGTTAGTTTTACTTTAGTCTATCAAATCTTTTGGCTTTACCTTTGTGGTCATCTCCTCTGTTCCTCCCTCATGCAAGGAGTCTTGAAATGTCAATCTCATGAATTTAATCGTTCACACCTTCACAAGGTTTTTCTCCTTATAAGTATTTTTGTTACGCAAGAAATATATCTACTGACTTCTGAACAAGTGCACATGTTATACCTGGACTTGATTTTTCTGTGATTGCCTGCCTATCTTGCATTTTCAGAATAATTTTTTTGTTTTTTTGAGAAGAAAACCTTTGGCCGTAGATATTGGGTGATAGAAATGCACGTGGATGGGTTTCGCTTTGATCTTGCTTCTATAATGACCAGAGGTAGCAGGTTATTGACTGAACTTTCTATCTGTTACTTAATATCTGTATGGACGGATATTTTTCTCATTATTCATCATTTTCCTCTTTTGTGGACAGTCTCTGGGATGCAGTAAACGTGTACGGAAATCCAATAGAAGGTGACACACTCACAACTGGTTCTCCTCTTGGCAATCCTCCATTAATTGACATGATAAGTAATGACCCAATACTTCAAGGAGTGAAGGTATTTACTCTAAACTCCTCTCTTCTACTGGATTGTGTGCTTCAAGGACAATTATAAGCATACGGTTTATCTAATCTGCTACAAACTATCTATTTGAACTCTACTTTTGAATTAACCCTACTAGCTCTTGCTCATCAGAAGTTAATATATGGGCAGGTTGCTGCATCTTCAATTTGATTTAACTTCATAATTTTCTCCTTTTTCAATGTGTAGAAAACTTCAAATGCAGTGAGATCATTGTCTTTTTTCAGTATAGATCCTTTTAGAAGTGAATATACATCATCCTTGTATGGTACATTGTACTAGGCGTAAGAATATGGTTCAACAAAAAACCGTCGCCTATTACAGTGTGCCATGAGTTCAAAATATTCTATCGGTGATATTTTGTTGGGAACAATATTATCCCATTATCATCTCATCAATCATCTCTTGAAATAAGAGATATGGTTGTTTTTCTAGAATTTGATATACTAGTTTTCAAGTGATCAGGGGTGTGCCCTAGTGACCGAGTGGTCAGTGGAGACATAAGTACCATATCCTACCTCATTTTTGGAGGTTGTGGTTGCAGTAGATAAAGATAAAATTAGAAAAAAGGAGATGATACATTTCTTTTGTAAGGAAATTGTAAGAAAAGTATTGGGAATATTACATGATCCAGTTTGCACCTAAACTCTTTCCCATTTCTCAAAATCAAAATAACTGCAAAACAGGCGTTTGGAGTAGGCAACTAAACCTTTTTTTTATCTGTAAACATTTTCATTTTCAGAAATCGACAGTCAAGGGTTTTGATCATTATTTGGATAATTTCCTCTTTGAGGATTTATTAGGCAATGCTTGATTACTTATCCAGTTTATCTTCATGAAATGTCAATCTTCAACTTAATGTTTCATACAAGTTAAATTGGAGTGTGGTTTTTAGGCGAAACATTTTCAAAATGGAGCTTCATTAGATCTTTTATCTTAATTACGGATAAAGAATTATGATTTTATTGGGAAAGATAATATGTCCTTTAGCCTTGTCTCCAAATTTTTTCTTAGAACTGATCTAGCTTCCACCGATTATTTTCTAGGTCTCACCAGAATTTACTATAACATGGAGTTAATCTCACAATCTTAATTGATCTGCTTAGCTATCATTTCTACAAACCTAAAATCTCATCATTTTGGATTTCCTAATTATTATTATGGTTGTACATCGATCTTAATAATTAGGGTTGAGTTTGAAGTGCACGTCAAGTAAATAAAATACGCACTCCTTTAAGACATGGTTCTTAGTATTTAGTCTTCTTTCTGATCTCATGGAAGGAATTTTATATCGATTGAATTTGATGTCACCATCTGAAGGATTAATTCCTTTCTTCCTTTTGTTGCTATCATTATGAATTAATCTTATTCCTTTTTATCTTGGAAATAGCTCATTGCAGAAGCATGGGATGCTGGGGGCCTCTACCAAGTTGGTACATTTCCTCACTGGTGTGTTTGGTCTGAATGGAATGGGAAGGTCAGCGTAGTTATTTTCCTTTTTTTGTTCGTTATTCCATAATAATATTTGGAAAATGAGAAAAAAAAAAAAAAAACTATTAACTAATGATAGTGATGCAATTTAAAAATATTTGTTTATATTCTTTGTACATTGGATCATGAGATGTTGTGATAAGAACCAAAACATCTCAATCATGCAATATGAACGACAAGAAGATGCTGAAAAAATGTTGTTCAAATTACCACAAGATAAACTCAAGTTGTAATTCATGCCACACTAAATAAGAATCAAGTTTCATTTATTCTTGGATGGTTACAAATTTTGGATGGACCATAATTTAAAGTTACGGTATTTCATTAATGTACAATAAGAATTTTTATGTACTTTAAGTTTTCATTTACATAGTGGCTAACTATGGTCATAAAAATGAAAGTAACAGCTCTTGAAACTCATGGAAGGTCAAGGGTTTCATTTTGAGGTTATATAAAGTCATGTGTGTTATCTTTGTAAAATAGACTTGGAAAATGTAGTAGAAAGGGCATTTGTGCTTTCTTTTAGCCTAGGACTAATTTTACTAATTTTTTTTTTTTTTGTAATTCTATGTAGTGGTTGCATGCTTAGAATCATTCAAGCTTGACTTGATCAATCTTACTTGTGGAGTGATTCGAATCTCAAACAAGTATTTTTGCCTCGAGATGTTTGATTAACAAGATAATCTGAATCTTACTGTAATTCTTATCGGTTTGGAGTTCTTGGATATTTTAGATTTAAAGGACTTGTTCTTCAGCAAGATTTCGATTAATAAGATAATCCGAATCTTACTTTCTTTAGAGTAATTCTTATCGTTTTGGGGTTCTTAGATATTTTAGATTTAAAGATTCTGTTCTTCAATAAGATTGTTAGATCAAATTCCCAAGGGTTACAGTCATTTGGATGAAATCAATTTGATTTGGGAGTTTTAGCATTTGTGATGTAGGGATTTGCATCCCGAAGAGTTTGAGGGTTCTTAGGTTCAGTTGGTTAAAGTTACCATATCATGTTACAACCCTTTACTCTTGAAGTAAAACAAGCTTTCAATTGGAGGCAAAACCTCTCAACAATTAATTGTTAACTCCACTAAAGAATTTGTGTGAAGGGTGTATTTATACTCAGGATCAAAGCTCCAGTGGTTAAAGGCTTTGTGGATGGAGATCAGAACCTTGTACATGATGAGGAGGTACAAACCTTTCTTGGGAATTTGAGACCTATCCTGCAGATTACCTAGTCAACTACCACCACATTGGTTTCTCTAACTCACCATATGGATTATTGAGCCCAAACAAAATATAAAGTAGCCCAGGATCAAGTTCAAGACGCACTCATTAAAGGGTTAATTTGAATAAAACAAGCCCTCATGCCTAAATTACATGCCTAAGAAGGATGAACTCGTGAAGGATGAACTCATGAAGGATGTGTGAATGGGTCATGCAATGAACAAGATTGCAAATAGATACTGTTTCCCTATTCATTGATTGGAGTTCACTTATTCTTCAGGATTGTTGGGAAATGGTTACCACGAAATATGTGTCTTGAACCAACGGCAGATGGAAGACTATTTAAGACGAGTGAGGGACTTGTCTAATTTCTGGATAGTCAGAATCTTAAACCATCGGAGCTGTGAAATTGGAGAGACTGTTGTTAAGGAGATGTGTGGAAAGTATTCGAGATCTAATCTACCAAGTAAGCAACCATTAAATTGAAAGTTAAAAGTATAAGAGTGCCACCTGACTTAAATATAAAAATAAGAATGACTGTAATTTGGTGGATCTTCAATTATCCAACTTTAGGATTTCTCAAAAGGTCTTAAGGATTCTAATGTGCTATAAGAACCTCCAGCTATGTACTTGCATAATTTCATATTGTTTATGATATTTGATCATAACTTTCTTTTCTTTCCTTTTTTTTTTTTTTTTTTTTTTTTTTTTTTTTTTTTTTTTTTTTTTTTTTTTTTT